CGAAAAAGGAGGAGCTGTCATGGGGGGGGTGGGGGGGGAGTCAGTCTGATGAAGGAGACCTGAAACCCACCAACAATACACCAAAAAAAAAAAAAAATCAGTGCAAGAATGAAAATAAATACTGTTCAGATTAAATACTAAAGGCAGTGAAGAGAAACGCATCCGTTTGCGTGGCTTGGGCTATGGCATCCCTCGGTAGCTGCTCTGCAACGCCACGCTTGCAAGGCTCCAGGGGAGACGCGGCCCCCGCCGCCAGGAGCAGGGCTGCGGCGAGCCTGCGACGCTCACCGCCCCGCTTACCGCTCTGCCCTTCCTTTTTGCTCACGCCAGTTCTTCCCCAGTTATCCCCTGACTCTAGCGCTAGCGCTTACCCAGCCGGGGGGGCCACCAAAGCCACCGGCGACGGAGGACAGGCTACCTTCCTCCGCTTTCTACTTTGGATCGCCGTCTTTACAGAAGACTTTCCTAACAGCGGGGCCACGGTGGGAAGAGAGCTGCTCGGGGTGAGGAGCTGATCCTTCAATGCAAATATATATGTATACATGCACACACCACGTTTCTATATATATACACATATATATATACACACACACATATACACATATGCACATATATATACACGCATTCTTTCCCACACGCACAAATATATATATATGCAGATGTACGTATATGTGTGCATACATACTCTCAGAGCAGGTTAATGAATAAGTTAGCCTTTGAAGGAAACAGGACAATGGCACATGCTCCTGATGGCACTTAAAGCCAAAACACTTATTGCCTTCAAAAGGAAAAAGAGGGGAGGAAAAGTGAGTGAAAGAGCTCTAACGGGATGCATGTCAAACAGACAGCGTACAGGCACAGACACACAACATTCACACCCGCAGTTAGGTTATGCTACGCATGGACGCACGTGGGGAAAAATGGAAAAACGTCACCATCCGTCTGGGCAAGGAAATAATAAGGCATAGTGGGAATAAACAGATCCTCCTTGGAGCTTCTGGCATTAGACAAAAGTACTTATTTTTGTAAGGGTGTTGTTTTACAACCTCACATTTTCCCCCCGAAAGCTCGCATTTGCTGGCATTTTCAGTGTCAATCTGGTGCAACTTTGACCTCAGGCACAGTGATCAGGCTCGCGCAAGAGGGCAAAAACTGGAGCAGGATGAGAAAACAATGGTGTTGGGGTTTTTTTTGTTGGAAACAAACTTTCTGCAGACCTGTCCTGATCGTAATTTTGGCAGGCAACCTCAAACAGCGACAAATCGGGATTGGGAGACCTGGGGGTGCTCTCTCTCCCCTCTTCAGAATCCAGTGACCGAATCTGGAATCTGTTAACATAAGGCAGGTGGCAGGGCTCAACTGTGACAGCAAAAGGACCTGGTACCTGATAGTGGCACTTTGATCACAGCATCCAACTTCTCACGTAAATCTAACAGCGCTTCTAAACGCCACCGCCTGCCTCCGACACCCAGCACCTGCGAGATGCGGAGGGACCGCGGCAGGACCCGGCGGCGGAAACCAAAAAGGAAAAGCAAAATCAGATACTTATAAAGAACGCGAAGACCCAGGAGAAGGTCGAGCAAGCCCGATGACCTGGTAGAAGCAGTGCCGTTAAAGAGGACGACCCACGTCCGACCCGACTCCCAAGGCTCTTCCCCTCGGAGGCTACGTGGGGCTAGCAAGGCGGCAGAAACGGAGAACAAGGAGTTACTTGCCTCCTCGAACAGTTTCCTCCCAAGTAGCGAAGGAGGAGCACCGACATCCTGACGAGACGCCTAGTCCTCTTTGACCAGAAGACGAGCGGTTTCAAGAGCACAGGCTTTCCGAGCAGGAACCCCTCCAAGCACCTAATGACTCCTCCAGAGAGGGAGGGAATTCCTCTCTTATCTGAAGAGGCCGCCGAGGAGAAAGAAAACCAAAATCATAGAATAAGAAAACAACTCCTAGCAGCTAAGGATGAAAGGACAGAAAGGCGGAGGAGGCGTGCAAACCCTGGGGCGTTTGGGCACTCTGCCTTTGCCCGGCTCCGCGCAGGAAACGCGGCGGCGCGATGCCTCCCGCCGCTCTGCTTGCGCCCGCCTCGCCCGACCGCTGCCGAAACGCCAGGCTGTCACGGAGCGCCGCAGAAAGCAACGCGAGACCCCACGTCTCCCGACAGAGCGACCGCAGGAGCTCCCTCCCTGCTATCTCCCCTCTCCGGCTCCGTCCCACCCACAGCTAGTCCCCGAGGGATTTCCTCCTCTTCAAGCCGTAAAACTTACTGAGCTACTGTGAACTTTTCCTTCACTCTAGCGATTAGTGTTTGCGTTTCCTTTCTTGCCTTTGCTTGCCTTTTTTTTTTTTTTTTGCCCTTTGCTGACCAATGAGAGGGTCCAAAAGCCCACATGATATTTGAAATAACTTAAAAACGAACAATAAATTTTGCCTCTGTGGCAATTACTGCAGAGTCCTCTTTGGCCTCCCACTGGTTTGATTAGCAATCTGCTCAAAGTTTAAAGATAGCTGGGGTGGGAGTGGGGGGAAAGAGAAAATAGACCGATCAGATATTCATATTAGCAATTTGTTACAGAATCTAAATTACACAGCCAACAATACCTATGGGCCCCACCAGTCCACCCCCAAATGCTTGGTTGCTTCTCACTTGCCGTGATACTGTGTATTTGATGAGACGAGTGTATTGTAAATCCAGCCTTAGCTTGTACTTTACAACATCTAAAACCCATCATATCAACACTTGGATGAAGCATCATTAGGACACCCTCCTTTCCCCACTCCTGTTGTCCCAGGCCCGTACAATCGGGTCTCTGGGAGGTGGCACCAATGACACCCCATGGCGCTCAACCGTATCCAACCAGCAAGAGCTTCTTCTTCGGTCCTTGCTTATTGTCCAGTTGCTGCTCTGTTTGGTTTTCTGTTATCTGTTTAACGTCCTTGCTCCAAGGCCGCCGTTGTGATTAGGGGCAAGGTAAGTGTCTGTACGGTGGACAGGTGAAGAGAAAGGGGAGGAGGAGGAGTTGTAAGAGGAGGAGGGTGTCCGGATGTTCTGGCCCCCAGTCTGAGGTTGCTGCAGGTTGAGGATGCTGTCGATGGCGCTCTGTAGGTGCTCATTGAGGGAGTCGTCCTGGGGGCTGTCGCTGGAGAAGCTGGCGTTATCCACATCAAAGGACTCTGACTTTCTGCGTTTGGCCGGGGGCAAGGGCACCTCCCAAGTGAGTTCTGAGCCAGAGCTGTGATCAGGTGGCTCCGTTTTTATCATCCCATGATAAAACTCATCCTCGACTTCTGCAAGTTCCTTCATAAGGCCACTGGTAGAGTCATCGGTCTTCTGTGGGGCGGGACTATCTTGCATCACGAGAGAGCGGGCGTCGCTTCTGTTGAAGAACAGAAGCTTGGAGCTCTCCTCTGGCCGGCTCTTCTCTGTCGCAGCTGCTGTGGGGCTGTCATGGGTTTTGTGAGAGGTGATCACGCTCCTGGATCCATCCTCCTGCTTGATCACAAGGGTGCTGGGGATTTTATCAACTTTCGGGGTGCTCCCTTTTGGGCAGGCCTCAGAGGGTTTATCTGCTACAAAAGCATCCACGTTCTCCCGGTAAGTCTTACGGAGAGGAAGCCTGCAGTAGGTCACTATGGGCTTCTTCTCCACAGGAGCTGAGGTTACGTGATCGACAGTCCCGTTCATTTGCCCGGCAGTGGTGGAGGTGGTGGTGGTAGTGGTGACAGCACTTGAAGCGTGCTGGTCAGTTGTTTTGATGACTCTGCACACAGGAGGTGGCTGGTGAACAGGATCCAAAGCGGTGTTATGGACCACTTTACTGAGACCAGCCTCCTGCTTGATCTTCAACTTGAGGCCGATTCGACTACGTGCCTCATATGTTTTGATCGGGGGTTTGCTCCTTGAAGGCAAAGCATCCTCATCTCCATCTAATGAAGGTGAAGCCTTGGCCCATGTCACCGATGGGGAGCCTCCGCTGTGCTTGATAACCAGTTTGGTGGGGTTGATCTGAGTGGCGGTCTGCACTGGGGGCACCTTTAAGTTCTCGGAAGCGGGTGCAACACTGGATACGGAAGCCAGAGCCACAGAGGAAGAAAGGCTCTGTGAGCGGGACGATGACGAAACATACTCATCTGGAACAGAAACACAACGCCAGGTGTTAGCACGAGCGTAAAACATGATGATTTAAGAAAAGAAGGGTCAGAGCTAGGATCAGAGCCCTGAAGTCCTCACTTCCACTTTCTTCAGCTACTGGACAGTCTCTCTCTCCTTGCAGAGGGGTCTCATGGTATCTCAGCACTCCCTGCTTTTGTAAAAACATCAGAAGTTTTGCAAAAACACACTTTATTCCATTTCTGCTGAGATTTACTTTTTCTCTAATTGTTTTCCCTCTCACTAGCTGCTGCTTATGCTTCTCAGTCCCTCTTCTCTCCAAGACTCGTCCCTCCTTCCATTTCCTATGTTGTTTATCCCTGATCAGCTCACCTTTCCCTCTGTGCTTCCACTGAGCGCATAAGAAGAGGAATACAAAATACATTTGTAAAAGCCACATATGTTCCTTTGTTTATGAGCGCTCATTAGGAACCACTTTCCAGGGTTCTGGTAATTCAGCTGCTCATACTTTCCAGAAAACTGCACGCTTGCTTTTCAAAATTCTCTTCTCAACTACACAGATTTTTTCCCTTGTTTCAGAGGTATGTCCAGTGCTTTCAAGCAAGTGTATGTTACTGGAGAAAAGCCCCGTAACTTAACACAAACCTTTCCCTTAAAGGATCTCCAAGGCGGCCAGGAATCATAAACAATTTGTCAGGAGCCTAAACACTGCAAGTAATTGCATAAAACAATAGCTTTAGCTATTATTAAAGAAGCTTCGGCTACTTTAATAATAGAAAGATGGATGGGGAAGACTACAGATTCAAGCACAAAGCACCCCATCTTGTTTTGAACAGCTTTTCACGCAGATCCATCCTGACCCCCCGCGAAGGCTAAGGTGGAATAGGCTGACATTGTGTTCATTTAGGAACAGAATAGGTAGTCCTGCCTCGGGCATCGCAGAGTAAGGAAGCATCATGTCTAGCACCTGAAGAGGAGGAGAGCTGAAGGGAACGTATGATTACAAGCAGTAGACAAATTAAAAAAAAATATATAAAATTCATCTCCAACCTGGTTTCTCCTTTGCCAGTTGCTTATCAAGCGCTAACATGGTCTTTTCTTCCTGTATGAACATGCGATCAATCATCACCATCTCCGCAGAAGGACTGACTCTCTGCAGATCACGGACATAAAATTGGAGAAAGAAAAGGGGGAGGAAGAAAGGCTCATTACAGAGTACAGGGGCAGGGGCCGAGATCAAAATCCACTCGAAGCAGACAACCCTCTGCAGTTTCGGTTGCCAGGAAAACAGATGTTGAAGTACGGGTGAACAGCCTCAGTGCAGCACTTAATGATGCACATGAGCTGTTACAAATCTTATCCCTGTATTCGAAAGCATTTTTCTCACTCTGATACCTTTGGAAAGGCACAAAGGGGTGTGAGACGGTACATTTTATAGCAGGACATTTTTACCTCACTGCATGGTAACAAATCACCCTCTTTACGCAGTCTATTAGACTATTATTCTTCCAAAATTTTTCCATCCCAAAAAGAGAAATGAAGACTCAGCACAAAGTTACCTTCTGTTGATTTCGTAGCAAGATAAACATCAGTTATTTGCAAACACAGGATTTGGCCACAGAAAGAAAAAGCTTTCCTCCCCCTGCTACCTTTGTAGAAATAAAACTACTGGACTCCCACTGACTTCACTGGGGCAGGACAGAGCCCTTCGACCATAACGTGGTCACACAGAGCAAACGGTATTACAATAAATTGGAACCAGAAACACCTAGCATCAGAGTAGCCTGGATTAGATAAATAACTGTTCAATATCACGCTAGCGAGAATGGAGAAGGCAGAATATCAGTCTTACCCGAGACTCCTCTAAGAGCAGTAGGCGGTATTTGTTCAACATAGCTTGTGTGCGTTTTAACAGTTGGGTAGACACCATTTCAAATTCCTCATCCACTGCAAGGAAAAGCGGAAGGAGAGAGAAAAGGAAAGTTTGTGTGGGTTTTTTGAATACAGCTGTACCTGGAAATAACCCACTAGGGTCCAAAATTAAACTTCTCGTTTGCAGAGGTGTGCCACATGCCAAGGTAAACACAGACACAGGACTGATGGTTCTTTATATCATTAGTAAACTCACCTGAAGGAGACCCTGAACAAAGATGTCAGTGTAATTTTTAGTTGCTATGAAAAACCCCAGAGGACCGTTGGAGCCTTTTTCAACAGCTAAGGTCTCTGTTTTCAATGATTTCTCAAAAGATAACAACACTGTGATGGAATCTGGCTTTGAAAAAATTCAGGTCAGAAACCCTAGCAAACTTCAAATACGTCGTCCTGGGAACTATGTTTTTCTGGAGTGAGGGCAGAGATAGTTTCTCTTCCTTTTTAGTATTGGACACATCCACTTTAAAAAAAAAAACAAAACACTTAGATGTATTATCCTCCCAAGTCTTATGACCTCATTGGTGAGGCATGACCTGAGGTGTTTCTGCAAGGACAGCTGCTCCTGTTCTGTTGGTTAACCAAGCCTTGTTAAGTTTTGGACACTTTTCAACAGTTCTGGGACCTGTACAGGGTCCACTTACAGCACTTACCCTTCTTATAGTCTTGAGTAGAGGGCAGCATCCCCTGGTAGACGTGATAGGGCAGAAGCCTTTGTAAGGCATCTTCAAACGAACGGAACGACGTCTTATAATCGGGATGCAAAACCGCTCCCTGATGTTTATGCAACTGTTCCAGGAAACTAAAAGAAACGAGGACGAATAAAACTGTTTATTACATGCCCAACCACGGTGCAGACAAAACTCCTATTTCCCTTACTTCCAGTGCTAATAGGATCATGCTGGAATAACCACAGTGATCACGTAGAAAGAGAGCCACAAAAGAATTCTGCGAGGAAGCTCATCTTTGCTGTCAACGTCCAAACGTCGCCCCAGGACCCTCGGCGACGCGCCGAAGGGCATTCTGCGCTACTGAGAATTGCCAGGCTGTGGCAAAGCAGCACACCGCCTCCCCGGCGAGGCGGCCGCAAAACCCACATCCTCCAAGGGGTGCTCTCCTGACTCGAGTTTACCCAAATATACTAGAGCAACGAAAAGACCCACAGAAGCAAGATGTTCTGTTATGCCTTTTTAGCCACACGTTTTGCCGCTAGTGCTGCTCGACTCTGCCACACTTACCAAGCTTCTTTGCTGGGCTGTAGTGTAGGAGCTTTCTTCAGACTTCCAAGTTTGCCGTCATACTGACAAGGAGAGAAAGAACACACGTGAGACAACTACGCAGTCTAGGCACCAGATTTAACCTGTGCGGACTGATGAACTAAAGGAGAAATCCTCCAGCCCACGTCAGGGAGAATCCTTCCTGTTTTGAGTGAATTAGGGAGCATAAAGTGAGATTGTGAAGACTGTGACTGCTCTAAAAAGAAAGAAAATCAACTGAATCGTTTTAGAACTGGGGAAAAGAGCAAAAGAAAAAAGTATAGGTTGCCAAGGACTAAGCGTGGAGAAACACTTCTGCTTACTTTGAACAAGACAGCTTTCAGGCAGCCTAATATACTCTTTTAGAGTTTCCACATAAATAAAATGTAAAGACAACATGCAAATAAATATCATTTTTAAACGAAAAGCTTAACAGTCACCAGCCCTCCCAAGGAGCTGCGCCATCTCCAGAAGAATCGGCCCCGCAGGACTGCAGGCATTCACCTTCCAGCAGTCCCCTGCTGCAAGTCTTTGCCTCAAGGTAAGATTAATCCTACCTACACCAGCCAGACGTATTTGTTTAACCTGCTGTTAAGAAATTTAACGAAAGATATTCCACTCCTCCTTCAAACAGCTCACTTCAGGGCTTCCTTACTTTTACAGTTGGAAATTTTATCCTCCAGTCTAACCTGCATCTCCTTGGCTATTAACCCGGTATTTTCCTGTTCTATCCACCATGAACCTAGAGAACAAATCTTTCCTTTTTGTTTTTTCACAGCCTTGATACCGTGTTTCTTCGCCTAAGCCATCAGAAGAGCTTTTCACAGACTCTTTGCTTTTAAAGCATCCGCAACGCGCGTGGGCAAGCTCACCAGTTGCTGGGTTTGCACGGGGACTGAGGGCATGAGCTGTGATAATCCTTTTCCAACTACCTGGATCTGCAAGGGACCTTTTCCAAGGTTCAGGCCCGAGACAGAACTAATCACGCCAGGCTTAGTCTGCAGAAGAAGCAAAAAGATGCTTTTTTTAATTTGGCATCTCAGCATAAATTCACTAAATAAAAATTAATTATCGAAACATGGGGTGAGAAACTGCTTGCCAAGACAACATCAGTCATTGGTGAAAGATGGGATTACAACGGGATTCGTTTTTGTTTGGGTGCAAAAGCCTAAGTCTAAAACACATTTTTGCATACAATTATTATTCTAATTTGTAATTCCAGAAGTCTGCACCAACTGCCTTCACGTACCATTAAATAAATTGATAAATGCATCAATTCCCTTAAGGAGGAGGAATGGAGTTCCTCTCCCCAAAGGTTTCATTAATATTGATGGGAGTAATTATTTTTACAGTGCCTTTAGAGGTTCACAGTACTTAAAGTGAAAACTATTGGCAATATTCAAATAGTTGCTGGAAATTAATTTCTCCTTTTTCCATAAAAACCGCAAAGCTGGAGCGGAATTTTAACAGGTTTTGTTTAGTCTGAAAATGGAAAAACATTACAAACGCATTCTCACCTGAACAGGCTGCTGTATAGCAAGAGATGTCCCTGATTTCCCTTGGGCTGAGGTCCCTTTCCCGGCGGAAATAGGTGCGGAAACACTAGAGAACGTTTTACTCTCTGCAGGAACCGGGGCAGGAATACCTGGCAAACACGAAACACATCGGCTTTTGCGTTCGCTCGTTTGTTAAGTCCAAGCTTAGATAATAAAACAGTTGCGTCCTGGCTTCGCACAGCGCGTTTCTTTCCAAGGGGCTGAGATTTACAGCCACGCTGAGGTGCTGGACAAACGGCTTCCACAGCCACCGAAGCACCGTCACAAGCGCTGAAAAACACCGGCAAGTTTTGCTCCCTAGCAAAGCCCAGCGCTGCTGGCCGGGCAGCGCTGCGCGGCGAGCACCGCGGGGAGCAATCGTTCGCCCTGGAATTTGGCCGGGACGCTGGGGCTGAGCAGCCTGGCCGCCGAGGACCGCGCCGGCGCCTTCTGCAAGCGCGTGCGGGAAGGACCGGGGTTTCTACGCCTCGGTAGAAAAGCGTTACCGGCCTTTGACTTGTATCAAACCATCAAAATACTACTGCCCCACAAAGGTGTTTGCTCCTTTTTGCTGCTCCTTGTTTTCCATACCAGGAATTAGTTTTGTTCTATGGCTACAGGGGAGACTTGAATAACTATTAAGGCCGGGCCTCTAATTTGTGGAAACGGGTAAGAGGAGCTCGCAGCAACGCGTCCTTCGTCTGCTTTCTGGATGCAACGCGTAAATCCACGTCAGCGTGAAAGGCAGAAGGAGTAAACACATCTAACAATTGCACAAAAACCTTCAAAAAAAAAAAAAAAAACCCCAAAAGTGCCAACGAGCTGCCTGCTTAGATTGCCCCGCACAGA